CAAGGCAACTTAGCAAGATCCTTTCTCAAAATAAGAACTAAAAAGGGCTGGAGATGTAGCTCAGTGGTAAAGTGTCTTTGGGTTGGTCCCTAGTACAAAAACAAACAAACAACAAAAAAATGTGTTTTCAGCTCTGTGTGCCTAAAGGATTGGAAGGATCAGGCTGAGGCAGGAATGTGGAGCTGTTAACAAGTCTAAAGGAGGATGTCAATTGTCTGATGTCATGGAGGGGAAGCTTCTTGCTCTGGAGGTGAGAGGTTAGATCCAGGAATCCAACTAGGGATAACCTTGAGCTGGTCTATAGGGTATAAGAGCCATGTGCAGAGAGGGCCCTGCCAGGGTGCTCAAGTAGGGACTCCAGCTTCAGAATTGATGACTTTTCTTTTTTATTTATTTTTCATACTGGGGATTGAACCCAGGGACGCTTCACCGCTGAGTCATATCCCCAGCCCTTTTTATTTTGCATTTTGAAACAGGGTCTAAGTTGCTGAGACTGGCCTTGAACTTGTGATCCTCCTGCCTCAGTCCCTGAAGCCACTGGGATTACAGGTGTGTGCCACTGTGCCCAGCTCAATTGATGTTCTTAACTACATTCCATCATTGAATTCTCTTAATAATCAATGAGATCAGGATGATTGTCATACCTTTTTTAAAAAATATTTTTTTAGTTGTCAATGGACCTTTATTTATTTTTTTATTTATATAGTGGTGCTGAGAATCGAACCCAGTTCCTCACACATGCTAGGCAAGTGCTCTACCCCTGAGCTACAACTCTAGCCCTCTCATTCCCTTTATAGATGAAGGGATTGGGGTCCAGAGAGGCCAAGGACCTGCACTGAGGCCACACAGTGAGCTGGGACTCACCCTAGATTTGAGCTCCTGGTCTGCTTTTGTCCTCCACACTCTTAAGTCTCCACTGCTATGTTTCTAGGGGCCTCTGCTGCATGTGACTACTCTGAGAGGTTCTCGGTGGCCCTGAGGGAACCATGGTCCAGGCACTCAATCCAGGAACTTGGGGCTCCTAGGTGTGCCAGGCTCAGCCTCCCTGGGAAGATGTCTGTGTCCAGGCTATGGTAGGACCCCGCTGGTTCATGCTGCCACCACCAGAGGGCGCAGCTTTTGCCCAGGTAAGGGGTAGGGAAGACCCCCCCTCACTGCTTCCAGAGAAAAGGAGTGGGTTCCTGGGTCATGCAGCTGCCCCTTCACGGAGCCCAGGAGGTCACTGTTGCCTTTCTGCCTCTGTCTCCTGAGGTCTTGCTGACCCTTCCTCCAGTTCCTGCTTGGCTCAAGGAGTCTGCTTTCCTCATCCTGGGTGTCTCCTTGGGAAGCTTGGGGTCTCCTTGCTGACCTCATGCCGGCTTTAGCTCTGTCCTTCCCCCAAGCAGCAGCCTTTTACCTCTGTCATCTCTGTCTTTTCACAAGGGACTCCGGGTAGAGCTGGCTAGAAGGCCAGAGTGTCACCAGGAGGGCCCAGAAATGGGAGGGTAGCTACCTGGGCCACACATCAGAAGGCCCAAAGGGTGCGGAAGGCAGGGAGGGACCAAATTCCTGTCTGGGCAGCATGGGGGGAGGGCAACAGAGACTTCACCTCCCCCCACTCCCAGCTGAGGGGAGCACTTTCAGCCCCCATGATAGACAGTTCAGCCAGGTTCCTGCCTAGGCCCTATCACCCTCCCTCCTTCACCCCAGGCCTAACTGCCTGCCTTCCTCCCCAAGTTTAGCCCCTTGGTTGTGGCCACTGAGGGCCTGGCCAGGGTCCCAGGCACTACACCACAGCGGACCGCCTCACTGGGGACAGTCCCAGTCTGTCTGGCAGGCCTGGAGGGTTGGGGATTGGCTGGAACTGCCCCCGCCTTTGGGAGGAGGGAGGGGGGCTGGATGGCTCACCCAAGGTCACCCTCCTTTCCTTTCCCAGCATCCCTGTGCAACCTTTGTCCCCTCTGCCTCACCTTGAGGGAAGACACAGGATGCCTGGCTGGCAGACTGCAGAAGAGCTTGGGGGAGAGGAGTGCTCTGTGGGGCGCCTGCTGTAGGACAGGCCCTGAGAACACAGCAGTGATTTCAGGGACACCATCATACAAATCAAGTACACTTGTGTCCGTGAACTGTGTGGCCGAGCACCAAGTGCATTTGGCCAGGCCAGGGATAACTTCCCTGGGGACCTGAGGGGTAAGGGGCCTTGGGAGAAGGGAGGAAGGCTTCGGGCCGAGGCCTGGTGTGGGAGCCTCAGTCTCCTCATCTGAAGAGTGCAGGAAACAAATGCGCCCTGCTCACCAGCTTCTGCGAGCTGCTAGGCAGCCTGCATCCTGGCCTGCAGCTCTCAAAGAGAAGGCGCTGTCATCCCTCTTCCCAGCTGAAGGATGAGTAGAGAGCCCCAGCTGAAAGGGTGGGCAGGGCTTTCCAGGGAGACCTGCGGCTCCCGGCTCCGGCTCCCGGCTCTACCTCACAAGCTTGCAGGTAGCATCAGGGAGGTGAGGGATTCTGGTTCTCACAGCAGGCTGACAAGCCAGGCTACCAGGCTGCTTTGGCCTCTTCCTGCTGCCTCAGGGTGGAGGAGAGGAGGGGCTGGTCCCTGGGCTGCCTCTCCTCTCCCCTCCCATACCCCATGTTTCTGGCCACGTGGCACCTCTGCACCCCAGGTCTGTGGGAGGATAATTCCTAAAGTGGGAACTCAGGGGGCCAGGGAAAGGGACGTGGGATCTGGGGTATTGCTGTGATTCAGTCCTGTGGTACCACAGCACCCCATAGCCCCAGGGTGGCAGGGAGGGGGTGCTGTCTCTTTAAGAGCCTTCAGGCTGCTGGGAGCAGATGGCCAGGCCGGCCGGGGCCCCTTGTCCTTTGTGTGCCTTCGCACAAAAGAGGGGGCCATCTGGGGAGGGGGCGGCTGCAGCAGGTGGGGAGGGCTGGGCCTTGTTCCTCCCCTTTCGAACCCTGCTGTGTGCCCTTGCCCCTTGGGGGAAGGTTGCTCACTAGGAATGCACCTCCTCTCTGGACCCCGTGGCCCCCACAGCTGCCCCCAACTCCTACCATGGCCCTGGGTGTCATGTCTTACTTCTTTAAAACCTCACTTCATAGGGCCTAGGGACCCGATCCCCCACCCCAAGGAATAAACCTTTCTTCCCTGCCCCCACCTCCAGAGCAGGATCTTCCTTTGGCCCTAAGAGAAGTGTGAACAGAATTAGGTGCTCCAGGTTGGGGAAGGTCTGGGTCTCGGCATCCCTGCAGATGGAGGCAAGCTTCCGGCATCACTGGAGGTGCAGCAGGTGGTGGTGAGGAATCAGCTAGATGCTGAGGCCTAGGGGGGTGCTTAGGGGGCTGGGCCCAGGACCCTAGATCTGAGTATGCAAAGAGGCAAGGAGGGGGATGGGGGACCCAACTGAGGCCCTGCCTAATAGGCCCCAGCAGGCAAGATGAAAGATGCCTTGGTGGAAGAGGGTGGTGCACACAATGGTTGCCTGCCAGGCAGAATGGGACAGTGACAGCCTCCCTCAAGGGTGGAGGTGCTGGGGGCAGGGATGGCACCCCGCCACTCAGGAGGGCTCAGTCTGGAAAGACTTTTCATCTTGAAGCGGACCCCTAAGCTCCGACCCGGTCTTTGGTCCATTCACTTTTCTCCTTTGTCCAGACCTCTCCACCCTGGGGCTTGGTGCCCAATCCATGATTTAAGAGGAGGAAAAAAGGCCCCATAGCCTTGGCCCGAGGTGTGGCGGGCAACGTGGCTGCTGGCTGGGTGGCCCCAAATGCCCCGACAGCGGATAGCACAGCAGCCGGGTGGGGTCGCGCCTGACTTTGCCTGGCCGCCCGCAAGGAGCCCCCTAGGAACAGGCGGCCCCAGCCAGGTCGTGGCCCCACCGCAGGACCCAGTCCGGTCGGCCACAGGCAGTGTGGGTGGGGGCAGGGATCCCTGGCTGAGCCCTGGGCTGCTTCTAAATTTAGGAATCTGATTACAGAGTGGCCTAGGAAGGGAAGGGAGAGAGGGCGCGAGTGCAGGCGCGACTCGGTCTGGGCACACCGGGGTGTGACCGGGTGAAGGCGTGTCCAAGAGTCCGGGGCTCCAGGAGGGAGGGGCGGCGGGCGGGGGCTTGGGCCTGTGTGCGCTGCAGCACGTGCCCTGGGCGGCGGGGACGGGCTCCGGCGCTGCTAGCAGTCTCAGAGCCGCCGCCGGTGTGTGTGCTGGCTCTTTGTGTGCCTGGCAGGGTGGCTGGGTCTGGCTTTGAAAGTCTCTGCCCACCCCCTCCCCCATCTCCGTCTGTGCCTCCCTACCCGCTTCCCTGTCTGTCACTCTGCCCGTGCTTGTCCGGGGGGAGGGGATGCTGCTTCCAGCTGGGGTGACAGTGAACCCAGTGGGGAGGAGACCCACCCCTCTCTCCCCTAGCAGTCCAAACCTTCCCTTCGACCTTCCACTTCTATCCCTCAGCCTTTGATGCCACCGTCTTGGGGGTGCAGCCTGCAGTAGTTAAAGGAAATTGGGGTGACCCCTGGGGACCTACAGATCCACCAGAAGCCAGGCTCTGGCCCAGTAGCTCTTGGAGGAATTTATTCCTCGCCTGTCCGGCCTCCCATCCGCTCTGGCCCCCAAGGGCGCATGAAGGGGGGTCCCCCCTGCGGAAGGGGGGGCGGGGAGTTCCTTGGCAGGAAGGGAAATGGAAGGAAAAGCTGGGCTCCACCCGGGCGGGCGGGCAGGCGGCCTCTGGGCCCCCGGGGCAGGCGGCAGTAACCCGAGCCCACTGGTGTGTGGGGCCGGTGAGCGCGTGGGTGGGGCTGACCCCCGGCGACTCCTGGGGGGCAGTGGGATCTCCCCCAGGAGTAAGTCTGGGGGCCCAGGGACTGCAGAGGGCCCCAAGGAGGGACTCGCTCCCCATCCCGGTCCTGACCCCACCCCCTGGAGGTCTAGCCCCGGCCCCCAGGCCCCGCCCCCGGGCCCTCCCTCCCACCCCAGGGCCAGATGTTCAGCTGGCGGAGGCATCGGCTGGGGGAGGGGTGCTGAGGCCGCAGCCGGCACTACTTCCCTGCCAGCAGCTTCATTGTGTGCGCGAGGAGCGAGCGGCGGCGGAGAGCGGGCGAGCGAGCAGCAGCGCGAGCGCGGCGGGGAGAGCGAGCGCGCCGGGGAGGGTGCGAGGCGGCGCCCGCGGCTGCGCTCCGCCCGCCTCCCGGCAACTCTGCCCCAGCGCCGCGCGCCGTGCGCGCCGTCCCGCCACCTCCGCGGCCCCGCCGGCTGCCGTCGCGGGCTGAGGGTCTGGTCCGGGCAGGGGTCCTAACCCCGAGACTGGGGCATCCCTGGCTCAGCCGAGAGGCACGGAGCCCGCGGGGGACGTAAATTACGCTGCAGCACTCGCCGGGTGAACGGCGTGGGCAGGCGGACGGCGGGGCTTCGGGCGCCCCGAGGGCAGGGCTCCCCGACTTCTCCAGGGGAGCCTCAACCCCGAGGGGCGCACAGAGCTAGCGTGCCCTAGCAGCGCCGGACCTTGCGCTCATCCCCCGCGTACCCCACTTCTGCACAAACTTTTCTGACGCCCTCGCCCGTGGGGGTCGCGGGGAGCGCTGGGGCTGCCCCTTGGGCTCCTGCCCCGCCGGACCCTAGCCACGCTGACCTCCTGCCTCTTGTAGCCTCAGTGGCGACCTCTCCAGGCCGGGCCGCGCGTGGCACTCGAGGAGAGCGCGGTAACCACCGTCGCTCTCCGAAGGCTCCCGCGCCCCCGGGGGCAGCCGGGCGGGGTAATGCCCTCGGTGATGGAAAAGCCGAGTGCGGGCTCCGGGATCCTGTCCCGCAGCCGGGCCAAGACGGCGCCCAACGGCGGACAGCCGCACTCGGAGGATGACAGCAGCGAGGAGGAGCACTCGCACGGTGAGCCCGGCGGCCTGGGGTTAAAGGCGCACTGACTGGCCCAGGGGCCGCGAAGTGGGGGAGGGAGAAGAGTTGCAGACTAAGGAGCATATTATGTTAATGGTTCCTGTCCTCCTGGGTTGGAGCCTCTGCCTTGCTTCTCCCTCAAGTCTGGGGCTGCTGGCACAGGGGATCTGGAGGCTTGGCCATGGAGGTAGTCCTGTCCGCCCTGGCCCTGCCCTTACTCACTGAGAGACCTAGGCGTGCTTCCCTTGCATAGATTGGGTCCCTCACACCTTGCCACCTTGCAGGGGACTGAGGTCTGGCTGGGGCAAGGGCTGGAAAGACACCTCGACACGGAGCTGAGGCTCATGTGGTGGGGAGGAGCCTTGGGTTCCTTGCAGGGCTGTGGTCCAGGTCTAGGGTCTGCCCTCCAAGCCCCCACCTTCTGCTGGAACAAAGCACTCTGCTTGGCCTGGCTTGCCCCCTCCCCATCCGATATGGCCATGACTAGGCAGGGTCTCTCTCTTTTCTAGTCCCCTCTTTGGCTGAGGGTAATTGGGGGAAGATCAGGGAAAAGTGAGCCTCCTGGAAGGTGGGGGCCCTGGGTGGTCAGGAGGGAGAACTCCAGCCCAGCTACCTCCCCCGCCACATCCTCCCGCCCTCCCTCCTTCCCTGGAGTCCTGACTGCCTTCCCCTGGCTCCACAGACAGCATGATCCGAGTTGGAACCAATTACCAGGCCGTAATTCCGGAGTGCAAGCCTGGTGAGTGGCAGGACAGGCGGCAGAGGGAGGGGTGGGGGCCCTGGCTTGGCCTGCAGCCGCACCTGGGGAGCCCTTGGCTGGCTGAAGGACAGGCTTGCGGGCAGGCGGGGGTGGGTGGCCCCATGGCATGGTGAGTTTTCTTGCTCTGCTTTCCTGTCTGGTCTCTGCTCCTCCTTCCCTTCTGGGCCTCACCTCTCAGGCCCCACTCCCCTGCTGCCCTCTGGCCTTGGGTCCAGGCTAGAGCCACCAGGCTAATCTGAGTGTCTTTCCTCCTTCTCTGCCTTTCAGAGAGCCCAGCTCGCTACAGCAACAAGGAGCTGAAGGGGATGTTGGTGTGGTCACCCAACCACTGCGTGTCAGATGCTAAGCGTGAGTAGGGCAGTACCCCGGGCTCAGGCTCAGCCCTGGGAGGGGGTGGCTTGGGTTGAGGCAGAAAGCCAGGTGCTGAGGCCTGTGTCTGTGGTTCCACCTACTTGGGAAGCTGAGGCAGGAAGATGGCTTGAGCCCCAGAGTTTGAGACCAGCCTGGGCAACATAGGGAGACCCCATTACCCCCCCCMAAAAAAATAAATAAATAAAAGAAGAAGAAAGAAGTGGGCTGGAGGCTGAACTGAGGGTTCCACCTCTGCCTTGGGACTCAGGTTTAGGGTCCTCGCTCCAGAGTGGGGTACCCCTCCCCTCTCTGGACAGGCCTGGGTTAGGAACTGTGCCCTCCYTTGCAGTTGACAAGTACATTGCTATGGCCAAGGAGAAGCATGGCTACAACATCGAGCAGGTGAACCTGGCCCCTGTGGAGATCTGGGGGAGGGGATGGGACAGTGCTGGGGGCAGTGCAGCCTGAGTTGCCCCTTGTCCTGGGCCAGGCACTGGGCATGCTCCTGTGGCATAAGCATGATGTGGAGAAGTCACTGGCTGACCTGGCCAACTTCACCCCGTTCCCTGATGAGTGGACCGTGGAGGATAAGGTGCTGTTCGAGCAGGCCTTCGGCTTCCACGGCAAGTGCTTCCAGCGGATCCAGCAGATGGTAACGCCTGCCCCGCCCCCAGCGCTTCCCAGCCCACCACTCCCACCAGCTCCCTTGGGTGCCCACCTCTGGCCTTGCTCCCCCAGCTGCCTGACAAGCTCATTCCCAGCCTGGTGAAGTATTATTACTCTTGGAAGAAGACCCGCAGCCGAACCAGTGTGATGGACAGACAGGCACGGCGGCTGGGTGGCCGGAAGGACAAAGAAGACAGGTGGGGKCTGGGTCATCACAGGGTGGGGGCAGACAGACTTCCTGGGACCCTGCCTCATTCCCTCCTGTGTCCACAGCGATGAGCTTGAAGAGGGACGAGGAGCCGTGAGTGAGGGAGAGCCAGATGCTGGAGACCCCAAGAGAGAGGTGAGGTCTCCAGCTGCTGTGGCCCCACCTGCCCACCTGCCTCCCCCGCCCTCTGGCTCTGCACCACCTGCCCTCTCTCCTTTCTCTGCAGCCTCTGCCCTCTAGGCCCCTGAATACGCGCCCAGGCCCTGGAAAGAAGGAGGTCCAGGTGTCTCAGTACCGCCACCACCCGCTCCGAACCCGGCGACGCCCACCCAAGGGCATGTACCTGAGTCCTGAGGGCCTCACTGCAGTGTCAGGAAGCCCAGACCTTGCCAACCTCACACTCCGGGGACTCGATTCCCAGCTCATCTCCCTCAAACGCCAGGTGGGGACCTAGGAGAGGAGGCCAGCAGCTCCTGGGAACTAAGTTCTGGGGTAGCTGTGATGTAGGGGAGATGGCGCAGGTGTGACACCTGTCGTGGCCCCCTGTCGTGGCCCCATCCTCTGGGATGCAGGCCCTCTTTAAAAAGTGGTTTGCAAACAGGGGAGGCTCTCAGTGTCAGCTCCACTGAGTGGTTGTGATGGACCGTGTGCCCAGTGGTGGCACAGCTCTTTGTTGGAGGACGTGGGATTGACTGCACACTGGGGCTCAGGTGAGGCAGGGATGGTGACCTCCTGGGACAGAGGGTTAGATGTCCCTCCCTCCTGGCCTTCTCAGGTGCAGAGCATGAAGCAGGCCAACAGCAGCCTCCGCCAAGCCCTGGAGGGTGGCATCGACCCACTCCGCCCCCCTGAGGTAAGGTTCACAACTGGGTGGAAAAGGGAGTTCTCGGAGGCAGAACAGAAAGGGGGTATTGATAAGGGGTACAGGGCTTCTGTTTTCCTTTTTTGTTGTGTGTATGTGTGTGTGGTGCTGGGTTTGAACCCAGGACCTAGTGCATGTGAGGCAAGCACTCTACCAACTGAGCTATATCACCAGTCCCTGTTTTCCATATATAGATAAATTTAATTTATTCTAATTTATTATATATAACAGGAGAATGTGATTCAATTCATATCACACATATAGAGCACAATTTTTGATATCTTTGGTTGTATACAAAGTGGAGTTACACCATTCGTGTCTTAATACATGTACTTAAAAATATGGAATGCTTCACAAATTTGTGTCATCTTTGCACAGGGGCCATGCTAATCTTCTCTGTATCATTCCAACTTTAGTATATTTGCTGCTAAAGTAAACATTGTTTTCCACATTTTAAAAAATATTTTTAGTTGTTTATGGACACAATGCCTTTATTTTATTTATTTATTTTTTATGTGGTGCTGAGGATTGAACCCAGTGCCTCATACGTTTGAGGTAAGCTCTACCACTGAGCTACAATTCCAGCCCCTGTTTCCATAACTTTTTACTTTATAAAGATTATATATTCCTTGTTGGGCGTGGTGGGACAAGCCTGAAATCCCAGGCATGAGGATCACAAGTTTGAAGCCAGCCTTAGCAACTTAGCAAGGCCCTCAGAAGCTTAGGGAAGACCTTGTCTCAAAATAAAGAACTGGGGACGTGGTCAATGGTTAAGCAAACCCTCTGCTCAATCCTGGTACCAAAAAAAAAAAAAAAAAAAAGGCTGGGGATGTAGCATGAAGGTAAAGTACCCCTGGGTTTAAACCTGGTACCAAAACAAAACAAAACATATCCTTTGTTCTTCAGGCCAATACCAAGTTCAACTCCCGATGGACCACAGATGAGCAGCTTTTGGCTGTGCAAGGTGGGTTAGACTATTGAGGAGGACAGAAGACCCCAGGAATCCACCTCTTACCTTCCAAAAAGCTGATGGGAAGGGGCAGGGAAGTAACTAGTTCTGAAGGATATTCACACTTTTGCTGCCCTTTTGACCCTTGCAGCCATCCGTAGATATGGCAAAGACTTTGGGGCTATTGCCGAGGTGATCGGGAACAAGACTTTGACCCAGGTGAAGACCTTCTTTGTGAGCTACCGGCGCCGCTTCAATCTGGAGGAGGTGCTGCAGGAGTGGGAGGCCGAGCAGGATGGGGCCCCCGGAGCCCCAGTGCCCGTGGAGCAGGCCAGGAGAGGGGCTCCCTTGCCAGCCCCAGCCCTAGAGGAGGACGATGAGGTGAGAAGGGGAACGAAGCCCTCAGAGGGGAGGAGAGGTGCTGGAGTGCCCCGAGGCTGGCCGGGGAGGGGGGCAAGCATAAGCGCCCTTCTCATTCTTTCCTCTTTCCTCAGGTCCAGATTACATCTGTCTCAACATCTGTGCCCAGATCGGTGCCCCCTGCACCGCCACCCCCTCCATTGCCCTCCTCGCTGTCCCAGCCTCCCCCGCTGCTGAGGCCACCTCTGCCCACGGCTCCCACCCTGCTTCGCCAGCCACCCCCACTACAGCAGGGCCGCTTCCTGCAGCCTCGGCTCGCTCCTAATCAGCCCCCTCCACCTCTCATCCGCCCGGCCTTGCCTGCCTCCCGCCACAGTGCCCGCCCTGGTCCTCAGCCCCCACCTACCCTGATCGGAGCCCCTCTGGAACCTCCAGCACCCTCACTCTGAGCCTTGGGGTCCTCTACCACCCACGGGCTCCTGAACCCCTTTGCTGGCATCTCTGAGGACAGAAGGGACTAGAGCTCTTGCCAGATCTTTCAAAGACCCAGAGCTGCCAGTTGGCACAGCCCAGCCTGTGGGTTCTGCGTGTGTCCTGGCAGCTGAGTTGCAGGCTGGGGCTAAGGGGCCTTCAGAGCTGGCCTGAGGACTCTGCTTCCTGGCTAGGACTGGAATGGCTGCCTCCTTATCTGCAAGAGGCTTGTCCTTTGGGCCTGCCTGTTGTGTGTAGGGGGTAGTGACCTTAGCATGGGGGAAGGGTAGGACAGTATGGGGTGTTGGCTGTCCTCATTCCCCTTTCCCTCCTTTTAGCAATAAGTCCTGGGGTGAGGTGGGGAGGGGTGGGGGGAGGTGGGCAGAGTCCTGAAGGAAGTCCCATTCTTCTGCAGGGCCAGGTGGGAATGCTGAAGGGCCCTGAGGGTGCCCACCTCACCCGTCCTCCCTGGAGCTTGGGGAAAGGGGGGCTGGGAACTTAGGGAGACATGGGTTTATTTTTCAATGTTTTTTAAAAATAAATAAATACAACCTCCTGAGTTGGCTGGGTCTTTTGCCTTTGGGTGCCCAGAGGGTGGGAGGGAGCTGGCCCACCCAGCACTAGCCTCCCTCAGCACCAACTCTCCTCAGAGCTGACACAGCCAGGCTACATCTTGCCCCTGGGGGACTGGGTCCCTGCCTGGCTGGGAGAAGAAACTGGAGGAGGCAGCTCAGATTCCAAACATTCTCTTTATTACGTGTTTGATCCAGAGGAGAAACTAAGTGCAGGGCCGGGTGGGAGGAAGGGGCTAGGTGGGGAGGGGCCACCTGGCCTGGGTGCCCCTGGCCCCCACTCCCCTTGGGAGCCAAGCCATGCCCTCCCGGCCCCCTAGGAGCACCCGGACTGTTCCGTAGGGCAGGAGGAGGGAGGGAGGGGGAGCCCTTGGTCTGAGCCGGAGCCATGGTGGAACAGGGGGTAAGGAGGGCTGAGGTTGGCGAGGCCCCTTCCTGGGACTCAAGGGCTCTGATGTGTTGCTGAGCCTGGCCTGGGAGTGGGGGTGATGAACAGGGGTGGAGTCATCATAAATCAAAAAAATAATAATAATAAAATAATAAAATAAAAAATAAAACCCATCACAAAAAAATGTACAACTCAGGTGAGGGCAGGGGCAGCCTGTCGGACTCCCTCCCCCCATTTCTCAAGAACTGAAACAGCAGAGAAATAAATTAAGGGATGCAGTGGCCACCACCAGCCAAGCGCCCACAGCCACCCACTCCCACACTGGCCGAGGTTAGCAAGCGGGGGGTCGCTTCGCCCATCTGTCCCCACCCCAGGGAGGCAGACACTCCGGGCCCTGCCGCCCAATCCAGCCTTCCGCCAGGCGGCCATGGAGGCCCTGGGCAGTCTCCTGAGAGGAGGGGCGACAGTGTCAGGAAGAAGAAGGCAAGGCCGAGATGAGAGTGGTGCGGGCAGTCACTGCTGTGGAGCGAGCTGGTGCCCAGATTAATGCCAATGACGGGGAAGCAGTGGGGAGGAGGGATGGCGAGGGGCTGTGCTTTCAGGAAACAAAGACTCTCCCAGAACGGAGAAGCCCAGCGTCCCTGTCAGGGAGATGAGCAGCCCAAGTGGCCCCCTGGGGGCCGAGGAGCCCATCTGCCCCGCAGTCCCCTCCCCTCTCCCAGCCCCGGGTCAGCCCTCCTTCTGCTGGGAGGGGTAGGAGAAGATGGCACAGACTTTTGAGGAGGGGAACAAACGTCCCCACAGCAGCTTGTGGAAGGAATGCCCAGCTCTGGGGAGGGGGGCAGAGGATACAGTGTGGAGGGAGGCTTGGGCCCCTGCCGCCTGCCCGCCCACGGCCCTGTCCTCTCCAGGGCTGTGCAGCACCCCCGCCCAGCCCCCAGCTGCCCAGGCCTGCAGCCCAGGGGCCTGAGGGCAGGGGAAGGCCACCTCTGGTGGTTCGCTTGGAGGGTAAGGAGGGGAGGAGAGGGGAGAAGCCCAAAGTGGGCCTGGCGGAGGGCCTGCCAGGGAACTCCACCACTCTTGCCTGAGAGTGTTCCAGCCCTGAGCCACCCTCCCGGGAAACCCCACAGATCCAGTCTCAACTGTCCCAATGGGGCAGGGAGGAAAGGTGGCTGCTGGGATTTTTTTTTTCTTTTTTTCTTTTTGGTAATAAAAAATTTCTTGGTTTAGGCGAAATACTCTGTGCAACCGCAGTACCGAGGGGGAGCCCTGCCCCCCCACCGCCCCTCCCCGTCCCTGCCTCCGGTGGGGAGAGAGGGGAAGGAGGGATTTCTGGGCAGGGTGAATGTGGGATGGGGAAGAAACATCTCCCATCCCCCACAACATGGAAGAAAAAAAACAAGAAGGGCCAGGGAGGGGACAAGTGCCAGCAGGGGAGACACGCCAATCCATTGCTGCAGTCTCGCCCAGGTGGGGCACAGGGGCAGGCCCCAGCAGCCAAGTCCGGCTGGCAGGCCTCTGCTGCCCCCCTCCTGGCAGCCTGTTAAAGCTTCAGCTCATTGGCTATTTTGGAGGCAATGTTTTTGAAGGCCATGGAGGTGCCTGATATCCGCTTAAACCGGACACCGTTGAGAGACAGCCGCGGCAGTTTGCACACCTCCATCTCCCACTGCACGAAGCTCTCGTGGCCCGGTGTGCCGTGCATGCACAGCAGCATATACTTCTCGTGCAGCTCGCTCTGGCAGCTGTTGGCGTCCAGCACCTTGCGGATCTCCCGCATCATCTCGTTGGGCTCCATGGAGCTCGTGGTCTTCATACTCCACGTGAAGCGCAGTGAGCGTGGCTTAGCCTCCCGGAATTCTTCCTTCTCTTTGTCATTGCCTCCACTGCCTACCACGTGGGGTCTGCGAAGAGGGCAGAGGCGGTGTCAGCCGSGGGCTGAGGCAACCCACCCACAGGAGAGCCACCCTGGCAGACAGACCCTGAGACTAGGGAGGAGAGCGGGAGGGAGCACAGAGCAGCGAGCTGGAAGAGGGAGGGTCACACTCTGGTCCAGGGGCAGCCCGGGGTGAGAGGCAGGGGCAGTCCTCTGGCCCTCAGTCTCTCGGGGATAGAGGGTAGGGGGTGAGAAGCCAGGCGGGTGGGGTGACAGTTCCATGCGGTTACAGTTTTTTTCTTTAAAGAGGGGAGGGCTATGCAAGGAATGAGTGCATTCAAGGCAATGTGGCACAGACTGTCCCTCCAGAGAGGCTGAGGCAGCAGCGAAGGCAGTCAAGGGGCAGGGACCTAGAGCCCCAAACGCCGGACGCAAGGCTCTGACTTCTGGAATATATTACGATCTGAGAAGGACCCAGAACTATTGCAAGTGCGCCTGGGAAAGGGAAATTCTGTGAGGAAGGGGAGGCCCACAAGAGGGTGCGGACAGGGCAGAACCACCGGAGAAAGGGCCAAGAGGCAGAAGGAAGAGAGGAGCAGGCGGCTTGTGGCAAGCCCGGTGGCCTGGGCAGGGCCAGTGCTGGCTCCGGCCCTCTCACCTGAGCGTCTCCACCCGGTCTTTGCTTTCAGGTTCATTCAGGTTCCTCAAAAAACAGAGCGAGGGAGAGTTTAGTGCTGGGATCTCTCGCTCCTTCCGCCGCCACAGACCCAGATGAGAGTGGGTCTGGGGAGGTGCCACCAGTGGGTGGACAGGACCAAGCCCAAAGGCCACTTGCCCGTCACTTGCAGGCCAACATGGCTCTGCAGCACCTCATACTGGCAGCTCAACTGTCCCTTACCAACAAGGAGCACAGCACATGGGGCCTGTCCCTCCCCATACTCCCAATGACGTGTGCTGGGAGGAGCTTCTGCTGGGGGAGGAGGTGTGGCTGCGCAGGCGCAAGCACAGAGCCCCGCCCAGCAGGAGCCACTAACCCTGGGTCCACTGCCTGGCTCATGCTCTACTGGGGTTAGGGTTGGGAGCTGGTCCTTTWTACCAATATACCAGGGTCTCAGATCAAAGTCTTCGTGGAGGAAGGAGCTGGGGGTATTCAGAAGCCTCTCTCAGAGGCTCAAAGTGCCAAGACCAAACTGTGTGGCAGCTGCTGTGGCTGATGGGAAAGGCCACTGCTCCATGCCCTTGAAACTCCCCTATGGTTGGCCTGCCAGGCCGGCTGCTCACACAGGAGGGGGGCTAGAGGCCAGGAAGACACCTGGGTGGGTGGGGAAGAGGTCTGGCCCCGCTGAGCGGCTTCTCCACCTCCTGCCTGAAAGATGGGTGCCTGAAGCTGGGAAACTGGGGAGAGCAGAAGAAGGCAGGAAGGAGGAAAGGCTGAGGAGGGAGAGCAGCAGCAGCACATGTAAAAGGGACACGAAGACACAGACACATGGAGGCCAACAAGCGCACTGTGAGCAGGGCCCAGCTGTGACAGGAAGGAGCCCTAGTTGCTCTCCTCAGGCCCCTGCAGTGCAGACCCAGCCAGCCATGCAGTGAGCTGGGCAGGAGGGGGGGGTGGACAGGGAATAGGGAAGTCCTGAGAACCCCATCTGGCCTGTTTCTCCCTCAGCTGGGATATCAATATGCCTACCAGGTGACCCAGGGTCCCACCTGGTCTTTGGTCTGCAGCTTGGTATCTGGCTCACCCAGGGCCACAGAGAGGACGTTAGGCCAGGACTCAAAGAGCCAGGATCCTGACCTCAAGTGAGGTTCTCCTGATGTTCTGTCAGGGATTGGAGGCAGAATGGCCCCTGTCAGAGATTGTTTGCTCCTGGCTCTTTGGCAGGCACAGGACACATGTGGAGGAAGCAGCCCGGAGGAGAGAAGGCTTGACTCATCAAACGCTGCCGGAGGCAGTATGCCAGGCAGGGTGGGCTAGGCTGGTTCTGCAAGAGCTGCCAGAAGGGGGTGCTGCGCCCCATTCATGAGGCAAAGGCTCCCTGGGCCTGGAAGAGTCAGACTTTAGCCTAGGGACCCCAATGTCCCTGTAGTACCTCAAAAATCTTGCCATCAGATAGGCCAGGGAGGAAGAGGTCACAGCCCTGAAGTTCAGCAAATCCAAGAGACCCCAAGAGATGCCATCCCAGATGCATTTTTACCCCAGTGGAGCCTCCTCATAGCGCATGCACACGACAAGGGAAAGGGCCAGAGAAGGAACCCAATGCTTGTGACCAAAACCTGGGGTGGGTAAAGAGACAATCTTAAAGGGAGAATCCCTGAAAAGGTCTCTTGCTTGAGGAAAGGTATACCTATGGCCCAAGGAAGACCCCTTACTTTCAAAGCCATTTGCCTTGGGGGTTCAAAGTCGCCTCGGAGGGGCCCTATGTTCTGAGCCCTGCCTGTCTGAAGGGGGCAGGGAAGGTGGACTGAGGCTGAGGCCTAGTCAGAGCAGTCTTCATCCCTTTAAGATGGCAGAGAGGAGGGCCACACAGAGCAGGTGAGCAGATGGAGAGGAATCAAGAGCTAGAGGGGGGGTTAGTGATGGAGCAGGACAGACACAGGACACACACACACACATACACACACAGTGGGCTCAACGCCTACCTTCTGGCAAACCTGAAAGACAGATTTCTAAAAAAACAAACAAAAAAAGACAAAATAAAAAAAGAAATAAAAAAAAAAAAACCAACAAGACGGTATGTGGATAAGCAGGTGGGGAGTGGGCTTCCCAGGTGCAAAGGTCACCCCAGTTTTGGAAGAGCCGCTCAGCGAGACTAGAATCCTGGTTATCAGGTCTGCTCCCACCCTCTGCAGTCCTTACACCTGTACCCTGCGGCTTGGGCAGGGCAGTATCTTCGACTACTCCAGCCCCATGGAGTGAGTGAGTGATGCGGGAGGCAGGGTGGGCAGGCCCACTATCCCAAAGCCCCCATTGCTTCCTGAGCTGTAACTCCAAGGTGGGGGAGGGGAGTGGGACAGATAACATCCCAAGAGGCTGGATGCCCCTGACCATCTCAGGGGCTCAGGTGTAAGCTGGACCCACAGTGGGCAGCTGTCGGAGCCAAGGCTGTAGGGAGGCCACCGTAGGCCCTTGCCAGCTATTGCACTGTGGGCTTCACTCTGGGAACCCCAGAGAGAAATGGCAGCAGCCAGACACCACCAACTGGTGGAGGAAAGGAGGTCAAGGGGGCAAGTTAAGAGACCAGGAAAAAATTTCCTTGTCAGCTCAGCCTGGCTCATGCCTCATGACTCTGCAGCTGCGTCACCAAATATAAGTTTCCATGGGAACCCAGGAGAGAAGAGGGGGGCTTTTATTTTAGCATCTGAGTTCACACTCCCCTAGAGAGGAGGCGGTATTGCCCATCTGCTTGGGGCCACAGAATGAGGGGTGCCTGAGAGGAACTGGGAGAGGCCTAAGAGGATGGGTCTGGACACATAAAGTGTTGACAATGACCCAATTTTTTAGGCTTCCTGAGGCCTCTTCTAACCCTTAGGACCCAATCCCAGTTCTGGTATTTCCACCCCCCTCCCAGGGCAAGGCCTGGCCCCAGCCTCTCTGCCACACTAAGCTCCCTGCTCACCTGCGGACAAACTTGGAGGTGAACTTGCTGAAGATGCTCCCGGAGGCCCCCCGCCGGCCCTGGCTGTGGCCAGAGGGAGAGGCTGGGGTCACACCGTAGGGCAAATTCTGCTGGTCCCGCACCTGTCGGAGCTGCCCAGCATGGAAGGTGCTTCGACTGGACACACCCCGGGGGAAATTAGTTCGGTCTGGGGCTCCACCACTGCTGCTGATGTTGTGAGCGGAGGGGGAGGCGACAGGGACACGCTGGGGGGCTGTGCTGTAGGAAAAAAGGCGGGGCCGAGGGAACATGTCAGGTACAAAGAAGCCATACACCCCCGAGCACCTGGAATATCCTGTGGTGGGGACAGGGAGGGGGAATGCTAGGGCAGAGGCAGCCATCACAGAGGACACAGAAGGAAGGGTGTGACCACTGAAGACAGCGGTGAGGAGTCTTGTGGAGGTGGAGATGATTTGGGAAGGAAGGAAGGGAGACAAGGAAGGACCTATGTTGTGAGAGCAGTACAGAATGGACACAACTGGCTCCTCGAGGGGACATTGGGAACCAACTCTCAAGGACTGAGGGTCCCTAAGGAAATCCAGGAAGGTTCAGAACAGAAAAGGCTTCCCTTTGGAGTTTTGAACAGCTTCCTGCATACCTGTTCTGACAGGGAAGACTAGAGGAAAAGAGGGACATTAATGGTATTTTTTTGTGCCCTCCACTTCCTGGCCTCAGGGGATAGAGCCATTTCTAGTGTTTAGGAGGATAAGAACAGAGCAGGTGGCCTAGGTGAGAAGAAGAGATGGCTGGGGTTAAGGGGGAGGGCAGGCTGAGGGCAGCAGGTGCACCAGCTGCCCCAGCACACTTGCCTGGGCCGCGGCACCTCACAGTTATTCTCCGTGGGGGGCAGCCCAGAGGCCTTGTTGGGGTGCACGGAGGCCGACATGGATTTCTGGTGCTGGCGGGGCCGGGCCGCAGAGACTGCGGCAGAAGCAGAAGCCGTGGAGGCCCGGGACCCTGGCATGGTTAGGCTAGGAGACAAAAGCAGCGGAGAGGCCCGGGTTAGGGGTGGGTGAGGTAGAAGCCTGGGTTAGGAAGCAAGGACAGGGCCAGAGCTAGGAGCATCAGCAGGATGCAGTTCAGGCCTGGTGGGCAGCAGTGAGAGGCAAGTCAGAGCTGAGGGTGACAAGATGGGAAGTGGAGGGCAGGGTGAGGAAGCAACAAGGTAAGGCTGAGCCTGGGAAGAGGGAAAGTCAAGGGGAGCCCACTGCCTCTGGCTGCATCGGTCTCCTAGGAACTTTAACAACAAGGCTGTTCCTTCTACAGAAGAGCAGGTATTGCTAAGGGGAGACCTTCCTCAAGCTCAGAAGAGGTGGAGCCAGGAATCTGAGACACTGAGGAAGGCTAACAGTCAAGACTGGGGCTGTGCTCTCACCAGCACAGCTGGAGTCCCCCTCAGATGGGCAGTTCTTGATTCTGCCCTGTGTTGGGGCCCCAAAGACAAAGCCTTAGGTACCTAGAGGAAGGTAGCTCCAGGCCTGGCCACAGTCAAGAAGCAAGAAGCCCATCATGATGACCATTGGAATCCTACCCTCAGCAAACAACAGGAGCAGTCAGAGGAGGACAGGGAGGGGGGATGGTGTGGAGCAGGGGAGGGGAAGGTGGACGGCCAGACTAAACAGAGCCAGGACGGGACTCCAGGGAGCAGGGGTAGTGCTCTGGGGGGGCAGGAGACGGTGCTACTGACAGGCACCACGTGCCGCTGGGAGAGGCGGCTCCTGTGAGCGTAGCAGATAGCCCGGCACTCACCTGTCTTTGCCGTTCTGGATGGAGGCCTGGCCTAGGCTGGCCCTCTCCAAAAGTGGGGAATTCCTGCTTCGGTTTGTGCTGGTGGAGAGGACGCTATTCTGTGAGGAATGAAGGGCAAGAGCGGTCTCATAGGAAGCCAAGTATTCTCTAGCTAGGCTCTCCCCCAGGGGACGGACAGGCTTCCCTTCCTCCTCCCTTCAAGTAGACAGTTGCAGGTTTGAAAAAGGGATTCTGCACTTCTGGGGTAAGGGTGGGCAGGGGCCTACACTTGTATAGTAAGCAACTGTAGCAGCCAGAGGGCCAGGCCCCACATAGGAAGGGTGGAGGGCAGGAAGGAGGACCTGGGGCTGGGTAGGGGCCATGGCTCACCGTGGAGGGGGTAGGGGTGGTCTTCTTCCTCTCCAGGCCCGGCAGGGGGCTGGCAGGCACTTTGGCGGTGCTACTGGCCTTCCGCCCTGCCTCCCGGTCCTCTTCAGGCCGCTTATTTTCTGCATTGTTACTCTGAGTCTTCTTAGAGTAGGAATTAGAGGTGGGAATGGCAGGACCGGCTGGAGGGCCAGAGATGCAATGGAGAAGGTCAGGCGACTGCCCTCTGAAGACCCACCCCATGTGTGTCCCGGTTTCACAGACGGGGAGGAAAACTAATGACCTGCCCTTGGCTGTACTACCCTGAAGAGGCTGAACTAGGCCCGAAACTCAACTATCTCCAAAGCTACCATAACCAGTGATGGCTCTGGAGAAGGGTAGGCCCCACCTGTGATTCTCAAAAGTACATACCCTGGTCACTGAAGCGCCGCTGCTTGGGGTTGGCTGAGACGCTGCGCTGTACCTTATGGGATGGGGATGGGGCACTGCTATTGGTCAGATCAGCTGAAGGCCGAGGTTTTAAGGTRATGGTATCACCTTCCAGCTATAAGAACAAAACATGGTATCAAGGAGGGCAGGAGTTGCACAAAGATCCCTCTCACATACCTTCCTGCCCTGCCTCACAACCACTGCAGGCTCACTAGAGACATCACCCCACGAAACTAACATACACCTAAACATATTCTCCTCTACTCTGGAGACATGCCCTGATACAGATGGGGACACACACGGCCACAGACACTCCCAACAGAAAGACACCCTGTCTTCAGAGAGGGATACACATGTCCACACATCCAGAGACATGAATACTCACAAGAACACATAATGAGGCTCAAGATACCATCCCCCTGCCCACCCACCCCCAGAAAGCAATCTAGGCCCATATCAAGTGCTGCCAGACACCGCTAAAGCAGATTTAAGTGAGAACCCAGAGGGGGCCCACCCGGCCTCAGGGAAAGCAGAGTGGGAGGCTCTGAGTGCACGTGGGCACTCAAAGAGAATGAACCAAACCCAAATGGGCAGAATTAATCCTAAGGCCTCCGATTCATAGCCAGGAGGACACACACATGCACATGGAAACACATGCCCAGATGCAAGCACCAAGAAGAGGCAACACACAGACTAAAACTTCCATAAGACAGAGACATACACCTCAACCGAGACGTATACTCCCAGACATGGAGTGACATAAAGATGTCTGGGTTAACACAGAACTGCCCATCAGACGACCGAGTCCCATTTTAATCTATGCAGAATAGCCAGCTCAACTCATCCGTAGGGAGCCCAGCCCTGAGCCCAGTCCCCTCAGCTTCCTCACTCCTTCACCAGGGAGATGAGTGAAAGGCCTGAGCACAGTCAAGGCTTCATGCCAGTCGGCAGAGGGCATACCCCCTGGAAACAGGCCTCTGCTGTAGACATGTGTTCAAGGCAGGGGTGCTACCTAGAGCAAGGGTGGCCAGGACGGGGAATGGGGTAAGGAACACGTACCTCAGAGCTCTTATAGCCCAGGAGCAGATAGGTGGCCATCACCTCATTGTACCTCTGGCCCACCAGTGAGTCCTGGATCTCTTCCCGTGTGTAACCCATCGACACCATCAACTCTGCACGGAGAACACACAGGTAAGGCTGGCCTCGACTTCTAGGTAGGTCCAACCTCCTGGCCCAGCAGCAGCCTCACCTGTCCGCCGGGGGTCCTTGTAGTCGGGGAGGGGCTCCACATAAGGCTTCAGCTCATCGTCTTCATGCCCCACATTCATCCACCGATCTTTCATGATTTGCTGTGGAGCAAAGGGAAGGGACAAGGGCAGAGGGGGAAAAACTCAGCTTAGAGGTCAACATGGGGCCCCCAGGATTTTGGGCCAGTTGGTGTTGAAGGCTGCTCACCTCTAAAGTGCCTCTCTTGCTGGGATTAAGAATGAGAAATTTCTTAAGCAGGTTTTCACAGTCCGTGGACATGTAGAATGGAATACGGTATTTTCCTCTCAGTACCCGCTCCCGTAGCTCCTGTGGTTAGAAAACTTAAATCACCCCAAGGACCAGGAAGACACTAATATCCAGGACCCTGAGACCTGAAGACTGGCTAGGCAGATGCCTGCCATCCAGAGTGCTTTGGAGGGTGAACACACACCATGTACCCCATTGTGAGATGGGAATGAAGGCTACTAATTTCCTTTGAACTGTGGCTACCTTAGCAGGCCCTTCTCTGAAGCTCTGGCTTGGGGAAAATGTAGACAGTTGCAAAAGGGGAGAGGTGAGGGATAAGACCAGAGGTTGAGAGGAAATGAGAAGTAACAAAAATGATCTAAGCCTGACATCACTCCACCTTGAGGTTCTGTCCATCAAAAGGCAGAGATCCGCTGACCAGTGTGTAGAGGATGACTCCCAGGCTCCACACGTCCACCTCGGGTCCATCATATTTTTTGCCCTGGAAGAGTTCTGGGGCAGCATAAGGGGGACTGCCACAGAAGGTATCCAGTTTGTTCCCAAAGGTGAATTCATTGCTGAAGCCAAAGTCCGCAATCTTGATGTTCATATCTGCATCCAAGAGCAGGTTTTCTGCCTGGGAGGTGAGATGGAAAATGTCAGGACACCAAGTAGATCACAGCGAGGCACTGCGCAGCAGGAGCTGAGGGGAGGGAGACCCAACGGGAAGTCGTCTCCACTCTCAGAACTTTCTTCACCAACTCCAGGGCAGGGCTTCAGAGAGCATGAGCAGGCTGGGCAGGAGGAAGGCATGCAGGCCACCCCTCACACAGGCAGCCAAGGTAGAGCTGGGAGCCACAGCCTCAAGACCCTGGGAGCAGCACAAAGCTTCAGGGTCAGTCAGGCCTAGGATTCACAGTCACGTCATGTTTGCGAGGACTCAGCGGCCAGGGGGTTCACAGGTAGTCTCAAACTCAAGTACCCTGGTAACAGAGACGGGGTGTGTGTGTGTGTGTGTGCGTGCCTGCAAAGCAGYTATGACACCACTGTGGAACACTCACTGTTCCCCTGGGCAGCTGCCAGGCCGCCTAAAGGATCAGGAGAGCCTGTAGTGCTGCAGTCATGCCTGGGAGCTCAGAAAGGGCAGAGACCCCTGCTGCCTCTGCAATGGGGGGCTGAGTCCAGGCACAAGGCCTCTGTCAGAGCCAATCCTAGGGGCTTCTCGCAGTTTCCTGAATACACAGGGCCTGATGGCACTGATAGCAATTTCACTGAAGAAAGAGGGGGAACACCCAGCTCTACTCCAAGGCACAGGAGAGGAGAACGTGCCTCACCTTTAGGTCTCTATGAACAATGAACTTCTGGTGACAGTACTGCACAGCAGACACTATCTGAAAGGAAGGAAGAAGGGTCAGTCCAGGGGTGTCTGAGAGTGGGCCACAGGGCTGGTGGAGGCCACTTTCAGCTGGGCAGCTCTTCCTTGTATGTCAAACCCCAAAAGGCAGTGGTCAGCCCACAGAGGGAGGCACACCCACCTGGCGGAATTTGGCTCGAGCCTCTTTTTCTTTCATCCTGCCATGAGCCACTAGGTAATCAAAGACCTCTCCTGAAAGAGATGGGCAAAAGCCCAGTGAGAGCCCAATAGGGTTGAGAGAGGCAGGAGCACAACAGGAAGGGGCGGTTCCACACCTACCGCCGCTGGCGTACTCCATGACAAGGTACAGTGTCTTCTCAGTCTCGATCACTTCAAATAACTTAACTACAAGAGAAAAGGCCAAGCCTAGAATCAGACAGGGAGCAGGGCCACATGCTAAGCCCAGAATGTCCAGGGGCATGGGAGGGACGGAGGTTCCTACTTCCAGTCTCCCCTCGTCTGGACAAGTCAAACTACTAAGACCAGCCAGTATGCCAGGGGTAAAGCTGGACGTGGAGCTGAGCCTCCCCAGAGGGTTCCTTGACACCCAGGAGGCCTACAGTCTCCAGAAGGCAGTGCCACCAGCAGGAAGGACTCCACTGCCAAGTGCGGCCTGGCTAAGAGGGAAGAGGAGGGGAATGGYGGCTGCTCCTCACCTATGTTGGGATGATTCAGAACCTTCATTATTCTCACTTCACGGAAGAGCTAGAAGAGAAAACACCAGGGGTCATGCCTGCTTCCCTTTCTCTCCTCAGATCCCTCCAAACAGAGCCCATTCTAGGAATTTTTCCCCAAAACAACAACAAAAAACCCCCAACAACAACCACAACAAAGCCAGGCAAGGAGAAAGAAACAGGGCAGTGTTCTGGCTCACTGTGGCCTCCCGCAGCTGGGAGGCAGGGGTGAAAGAAGGCTGGCCTCTGCTGACCTGCCACCCCAGGCCGCTTCAGAATTGGATGAGCCAGTGGCTCCCCTTCTACATTAGGGCTGCCCAAATCCAGCCCTAAGACTGTAGCTGGGTCTGGCTGAGGAGTTCTGTTGGGGACCATGAGCCAGTGCAAGTGGATCCTCAGCATAGCACTCCTTCCCCAGTTCAGTGGCCAGACATGCCCCAGCAGGCCCAGTGATGGGGTGGAGCTCGAGGGGCACCCATCTTCTTTAAGCTTGGAGAAGTGAGAGAGGGCCTGCATTGGGGGATAGGCCTTCTCTCCCGGGCCTCTGGGGTGGTGATAGAAGAAGCCACTCCTATATATAGCTGATGCCAATTTTAATCAAATCCACCTCCACACACTCACGCTCTCTTTGTGAAACAAAATCAGGGGCTCCAAACCATACATTTCCATAAAGAAAGATGACAGAAATGAACTCCTTCCTCCCTGCGGGGGCCAGAGAATCGGAGGTGGAGTTTTTTGGTAACTTCTAGGCCTCACCACTTGCACAAAGAACAGAACCAGTTGTTTTTGATTTGGGGTAGGGGTTGTCTGGAGCCCTAATCCATAATACAATTTATAGAATAAAGTGAACATTAACGAGAAAGGAAAAGAGGCAAGTGCCTTTCTAATCTGTAGGAACCTGAACCTTATCAGCTCCCTCTTTGTTAGGGTCCAGGTTTTTCTTGCTTCCTTCCCAGATTCAACAATTACTGTAGATGAAAAAGCAAAAAATCCTAGACTCCCCTCAGGGGCAATAATGGGGAGCAGCACTGTAATGGGGCCCAGAACCAGCAGCCAGGATTCTTCCCCTGAGGACAGCCTCTTGGCCTGGAAGCAGCAATCTCCTAGGAGAGACTGGGGTTTTCTGGGCTTGCCCAGACCCTGAAGGGGCTATCTTCTTGATGCTTTAGAGATCACTGCTAAGATCAAATTTAAAGGATGATTTGGGAGCTGGGTGGGTGGCATGCTTGTAATCACAGTGACTCCCGGAGGCCGAGGCAGGAGGATGAGAAGTTTAAAGCCAGCTTCAGCAATTTAGTGAGGCCCTAAGCAACTTAGTGAGACCTTTGAGACCTTAGTCTCAAAAAAAAGAAAGAAAAAGGGAGCTGGGCACAGTGGTGCACACCTGTAATCCCAGCAACCCGGAAGGCTTACATGCAGAAGGATTACAAGTTCAAGGCTAGCCTCAGCAATCTGGTGAGACTGTCTCAAAAAACAAAAACAAAAAATAAGGCTGGGGATATAGCTCAGTGGTAAACTGCCCTTGGATTCAATCCCCAATACCAAAATAAAATAAACACCAGTCCTTCTTCCCATCCTCCTGTAATAAGCAGGGAAGCCCTGGTGAGACAGCAGTGTTTCCTTTGAGCCAAACCCTTCAGGGGACACAGGGGAACACCTTGGTTCCAGCTGTCAGCTTATCAGGAACTCGTGCCATCTACCATAGTTCCAGGAGCACTGCCCTCCATAACAGTCCCCGGCCCCTAGTCCTGAGCCTCTTCATACCACTTTGCCTGACACTTCTCGTGGAGTCACCTTCCTACCTGGCTCAATTACCACAATGTGGGGCTAGGGATAGAGCTCAGTTGGTAGAGTGCTTGCTTTGCATGCCCAAGGCCCTGAATTCAATCACCAGCACAAAAAAAGAAAAAAAAATTACCATAATGTGCTTACGAAAAGAAAAACTCGGGGCTGGGGTTGTGGCTCAGCAGAAGAACGCTGTGAGGCCCTGGGTTCAATCCTCAGCACCACATAAAAATACATAAATAAAACAAATGTTAAAAAAAAAAAAAAAAGAAAGAAAGAATAGAAAAACTCCACTGGCCACAAGATATAAAGAACCAGGTTCTGGTCAGAAAATCTGAGTCAGGGTCAGCTACAGAAGGGCCCAAATGAGGCTTGACAGATCTAAATAGGGACAACTTTTATGGAGCCAGAGAGGCGCCTCCTCCTTCTCTTAACTGCTAGAGCCCAGGAAGGGAAGACAGGCAGTTTCCAGTTCTAGGGTAACCAGTCACTGGCAAGCTCTGCGAAACAAAGTCTCCCTTTCCTTTCTTACTTCTACCACACTCTAAAGTTCCTTGGGTAGAGGGTTTGTGTTACTGCTGGGGGATTCCTCCATTACACATGGAGGACTTCAGTTTCCCACCGTTAAATGAGTGAAAGAAAAGTTCAACCTTCTCCAGCAAAAACTATGTGCAGAGGCTGGGGCTGGGGCTCAGCGGCAGAGCACTTGCCTGGCATGTGTGAGGCACTCAGCACCACATATAAATAAATAAAAAATAAAGGTACATCAACAACTAAAAAATATTAAAAAACAAACAAACAAACCAACCCCATGTGCAAATCACTTGTGACATCTAGCACAGTGAGCCTAGAGGTGAGAAGGCAAATTGGAAGTACCTCTCTTTATTCTGAACACCTTGTCAGGGACTCAGAACTACAGTCCAACTTCTAAAACTTCTAGTCTTCCATATTCACACTCTGAAATAGAGCTGGCAGAGAACACACTGCCAGGTTCCCTGCCTCTTTACCCTATACTTCTAGAGCCAGTCTCCTGAATTCCTCCAGGCTGGAGTAGCTTGTGTGTGTTTCTAGTAATGCTGTAAACACGTGTTTTTGCACAGGGCTGGCCACAGGCCAGAAGAGAACAAGGTATAGGAAGTAGATGAGACAGGTGGGCCTAGTGGCTGGAAAGGGGCAGAAAGACTGCAGAAGAGCCAGTGCCTGAGGCCAGTAGGCCCACCCAGGAGATCTGAGCAAAGTCCTGGAGAGCAGGGCCACGTGGGGTGGGTGGTGGACACAGAGGAATTGCCAGAGGACTTAAAGTAGGAATCCAAATGGAGCCAGTAGATCACTGAGCCCTGAGAGAAGCTTGGAAAGGGAGAGGAGGAGCTGGTGCTTACTTTTTGGAGGCTGGAGGAATTCAGTTGAGTCTTGTCGATGATCTTCACAGCTACCTGAACATGAGACAACAAAGCCCAAGATCACTTCTTTGACCAGGCTAAGCCTAGGACCTGATTCTACTTCCTCCTTTGTATTTCCTGCTCCTTTTCATCCCTCAGTTCTTAGCACCTCAGTCAGATCTCATTTTGGCCTGATAAACAAGAGGCTGGCTGCTGGTGTCCCCCCACTACCTGTGGAGTGTCGACAGGATGGGAGCTGCTGCCATACCCCTAGCCCAGTGCTCACCTCTTTCCCAGTCAGGATGTGCCGGGCCAACTTCACCTTGGCGAAGTTACCCTTGCCAATGGTCTTGAGGAGTCGGTAGTTGCCAATATGGGGCTGCTCGTCAGCAGAGGTGGCCGAGTTGCGGCCCCGCAGCATGTTGGACTTACTGCTGGGCTTGGAATCAAGGTGTCCCAAGGTGGGCTGCAGGGAGAAACAGACATACCTTTACACACTAACCTTCAGGTTCCCTAGACCCCTGCCCTCAGCTCTCTTCAAGAGACAGAAGAGGCGGGGGCAGACTCCAAGGGGCTGATAGGCAGGGAGAAAAGGGAGGAGGGGAGGACATGACGGCCAGCCTTCAGTCCAAGGGAGCATGGCATAAAGCACAGCCAAGATCCCAGGGAACAGAGCTGATCCAGCGTGGGTGCTACTGAGGCCCCAGCAATAGCCCAGCAGCTCCTCTGCCTCAGGTAGAAGACACGGCCTCCTACTGTCCTGTTCACAAGAGAAGATCACCGCATCCAAAGTCACAGGTGCAGCATGAGCAGAACTGCTTCAAAGCTTTCACTGACACCCAACTCCTTTATCACTTTACACTTTACATTTATTTGTTGTGGCTCCCAGGGAGAAGAGAGACCCATGAGGGCCTGCATATCTATTTTCTTCACTGATAGATCCCAGCACTTAGACAGACTGAACTACAGTTGATACTAAATGAATCCTTGCAAATGAACAAATGAACTGAATAACTGGGTCCAAGCATGGCAGCAGAAGTTATAACTGGCTCTGACACAAATAAAAAAATAATAATATAAGACAATATAAAACAGCATTATGGTTCAGCTGGGCACAGTGGAGTAACACCCAGTGAATCAGGAGGCTGAGGCAGGAGGATGGCAAGTTTGAGGCCAGCCTCAGCAACTTAACAAGGCCCTAAGCAACTTAGTGAGACCCTATCTCAAAATAAGAAATAAAAAGGGCTCGGGATGTGGATGCTCAGTGGTTAAGCAGCTCTGGGTTCAATCCCCCAAAATTAAATAAAAGGAGAAAAGAAAAAGTCTGGTCTAATTCCTATTTTGAGCCCCAAATCACCTGGTGCCAGAGCCTCATTCCAGATCCTTTTGGAGCTACCTTAGAAACTTCAGAGAGACTGAGGTTAATAGGGTGATCAGAAACGTGTGAGTCAAGGTTCTTCCTTTCCTGGCCCCACCTGGCTCCAAGTGAATACTTTAAAACCACAGAGAAAAAGCATGACTTGCTACAACCCAAGGAACTGCAAGACATTTGCTGGCTCGATAGACACTTCTCAAGCAGAAAAATAACAAGTACCCTGATTCTGGCCCTGCTTGCCAATCTGTCAACAGGGTCTTTGCATAGTACATGTGGGGTGCTCTTCCATTGAGCTACATCCCAGCCCTTGGGATCCTCCTGCCTCAGCTGTCCCAGTTGCTGCACCACTATATGCAGCATGTGGGCTATGTTTTTGAGCTCCCTGAGCAGATCCCAGAAGCCCCTTGAAGGAGAAAAGACCCTATGCACATGGCAAACTGTGAAGCAGGGGCTCTTGACAGACCAAAGAGTCCCTTTTTGCCTCCATGGCTCTCTCTGCTACGTCTCCCCATGAAGACATCGATCCTTTCTGTCTGTCCATCCAGCTGCAGAGTTTTTTGGTCTATGATTCTCCCCATACCCTGAGTCTTGAGTCCAGCTAGATGACCAGATTCTCACATGCCTGCTTTCTCCCTTCCTAAGGAACTCCGGGGTTCCCACCCCCTGGAGACAAGGGCAGTTGTAGGTCCTGCTGGTGTCAAGTGGGGTGTTTCCTTTGAAGGATACTGAGCCCATCCAGCAGGTCTGAAGGCCCAGCCTCCAGGGCCTACCACTTCTCAGCCTCATCCTCCCCAACAAGCTGCTGGACTTTCAGTGCCCCGTCCCACTTCCAGGGAGCCAGCAACAGAAACCTTCCTTCTGTTTCAGCTCTCACGAGAGGAAGATGGGTGGGAAAGCTTCCTTGGCAGCTTCTAATGCACTTTCTGGGTTTCTGGTTACACTGTTTTTCTGAGGGCACAGCCAAAGGCAGCAGGAGCCTGACAGCCTCCAAGCCTGAACCTGAAATAGGGACTTGGCATCTACCAGGGATGGGGCAAAGCAGGGAACGCCACGCCCATCCGAGCCCGCCCTGTCCATCCATCTTGGTGATTTTGGCCCTGGAGCTTGTCTTTGTGGCACAGCAGGACAGCATCCCCCTCAGTTTTGGCTACATGCTGGACTTCAAGAACCATCAACAACCATAAGTGGTACTCGCCATCCACCCTCTTCCTTATTGGTTAAGGTTAAGAGTGTAGATACCAGAGGTCAATTGCCAGAGTTCAAATCCTAGCTGCCACTTAATGTGTTAACTTCATTAACATCATCCTTAAGAAGAAGGTAAGGATGCAAGAGGTGGGAGTTTGGGGGGAAATCACTCAAAAGATGACCCATGGGTGTTTCCACTCATCTGTGAGGTAATCTACTGGGTTCTAAGGAGTTCCACAGACCAACAAAACTAGATTTAAGTACTGGTTCTCCTACCTACTAGCTTTAGTTTTCTTATCTCTCTTTTTTTTTTTTTTTTTAAGAGAGAGAGAGAGAGAGAATTTTAGTTCTCGGCGGACACAACATCTTTTTTTTTTTTTTTTTAATATATTTATTTTTTAGTTCTTGGCGGACACAACATCTTTGTTGGTATGTGGTGCTGAGAATCGAACCCGGGCCACACGCATGCCAGGCGAGCGTGCTACCACTTGAACCACATCCCCAGCCCAAGTTTTCTTATCTCATAAAAAAGAAATAAAACATTCCCTACTTCTCATAGGTAGATGAGAAAATCCATCTAAAATGCTTTATCCAATGCCGAATAAAAGCAAACAAAGGGCTGGGGTTGTGGCTCAGTGGTAGAGCGTTCACCTAGCATGTGTGAGGCACTGAGTTTGATCCTCAGCATCACATTTAAAAAAAAAAAAAAAAAGTAAACATACAAAATAAAGGTATTGTATCCATCTACAACTAAAAAAATTCTTAAAAAAAAAAAAAACCCAAATGTTATTGTCCATTAAGCCAATGTCTGTCTGTCTACAAATGTCTACATCTAAGCCAAGTACTGGTAAGGTGGCTGCAGGCCATCAGAGATACCATGGGGCCTTCTACCTGGGAGACTGGTCCAGGCTGAGCATGTGCTACCCTCCATCCCAGCACCTGTGGCCTTCATAAGACAGGAGGGAACCAGACACTCACATGGGGTGGGCTTTGACTCCCTGTTCCAGAGTCACCAATTCCCTTTTCAGGCCTGAGCCACCTAACTGTTGGGACTCAAAATACTCAGTCCTTCTCATCATGCCTCTTTTATGCAGCAGGATGTTTCCTGTAGCAGGGATGTAGGACAGGGTAAGGAAGAGTCCACCAGGAGGAAGGAGAGAAAGAAGATGGGAATAGAGAAAGGAGTTTCCCACTGACAATGCTTCTTGCTTGGGCCAAGGCCCCAGGCGAGGCAACTTCCTTGCCTCCACTGCTGCTCTGAAGGGTGAAGAGGAGGCAAGCTGCAGGTGGCTATTATGGAGTTTCCCTTCTATGATTCAGACAAGGCCCATTCATCTTGGCTCTGGATCTCACCAACGGGGTGGCAGGCTGAGGCCTATCTGCCCTTGTAAGCCAAAGAAACAGGATCTGGCTAAAGCCCTGGTCTCCCTTTTACCACGAACTCCCTGCTCACAGTAGGATGTACAACACCAGACACCCCAAAGCTCTGGCCTATATCTATATGTATCCCAGGGAGACCCCCAACGCTCCCAAAAAGACTTCAGAAATAAGGGATTTCCCTTGCAAGGCAGTATGTGGAACCAAGATAGACCCATTGCTATTACTCAGCAGGCCTGATCCTACAGAAGTGAGGCGAAAACAACTTGGGGCCTGCAATCAAGCAGAGGATAGAAGGCAGGGCACTAAGGGCAAGAGAAGAGTCTTAGATCCACACAGTTTGCTAGAGCCCTTCAGCTTGGGAGCTGAGAACCTGGCTTAGGCTCGTTGCCAGGCTTGCCCGGAAGAGCCTCCACCCTGAGAGGCTGGGCACTGACTCAGGTAGGCAGGGCCCCCTGCACGAATGCTGGAAGCTCCCACCAACAGTTCTCCCCTCTAGAAACTATGCTCTGGGACTCACCATGGAGGGCTGGCCTCAATGTTCTGAGGTTTCTCCAGGGCTGGAAGGGGTGATAGGCAGGCTCTCCTCAGCCAGAGGTGGTACAAGGCCAGGCACAGTGAAGAAAAACGTCCCCTGGGCACTGGCCTGAGATCCCAGCTGGCCCTCACCATAGCTTCCGAGTGCCTCTCTGTTGCAGCTCACCACCTTCCAGGCCTCCATCTGCCCCACAGATGCAAACTCAGAGGAGACTTTCCTTTCCTAGTCACACATCTCTTCAACACTGCACTGGGACACCCTTCCCGTGACTCCTACCACTCACTCCTTGCTGGTGCCTGGCTCCACTAAGCAATTCCTGAGAGACCCTTGCTTCATGTAGGAGGGAGGGGAGAGGAGAGGAGTCTCAGAGGTAAAAAGGGGGAAACATACCCGSTCGGAGAAAGGGACAAAGATTATCAGCGACTTCCATTCAGTACAGCCCACAGCAGAACCTGTCAGGCATCGAGGGCAAAGTACAGAGGCCGAGAAGAGCCAGGCCCAGGGCGGGGGCTGCCTGTTCAGCCAGCCACCCTTACTCAGCCGGAGCAGGCGACACCTTCCACCACCTCCTCAGTGAAAAGGAGTAAAGCAGCCAGGCTGAGTGGCTCCTGCCTGGGAACCTGGTCTGTGTTGCAACCGAAACCACCACTAGCAGAGAGAGAGAGTGGTTTGGCAAGGAGAGCAACGGGGACAAAGCCTGGGGCTTCTGGAAGACCAGGGTCTGGTGGTCAGGAAGGTGTGCAGTTCTGGGCCAGTGCTCCAAGATCAGAGAGGGAGGAGAGGGGCAGGAGAGACAGGGCAGGAAGGGCGACAGAGAAAGAGGAGGGTTTAGATCAACTTCCTTATCCCCTCCCCCTTCCTCCCTCCCCGGAAGTGGGCTGCCCCACCCTCCCTAGGTGTTCTGCTGGGTAACAGCTGGAGAGGGTGAGGAGGAGACTCCCTTCAGCCAGGGCAATCATAAAGCCCTTATCTCACCTGCAGCAGGTGGGAC